ATCTAATCTCAGCTATAGCTTGGCTGAAGTAATTGCACGCTAAATGGCTGAACATGTTTCGTCATAAATGTGTCTCGATCGCATGCAAAGCCGCGAATTCGATGCCGATTTTTGTTAGAGAGCTACAGTTGTTGATAAATGCAGGGGAATACGAGTCCAATTCATCGCATATACATATGTATATTAGAGCTGTGCCCATTCGTTCCGAGTCAATTCGATTGAATAGCTCATTTCAATGAACGACCAAGCTTTCTGTGTGAATGAACTAGTGATCGGCATTGGTTCACGGCAAATGAACAACAGTTAGCAACTCTAATCTTTTGTAGACATATGTAGGTCGCACACAGCCATTTCAGCTGGTGGCCTGATCCCAAACCTCGCCCCAACTTGTTCGTTTCCCCATCGCCTCGATGATTCATATTTTTTTTTGCTACATAGAGGATCATGCGAGAGCTGCATAACATAATTTTCCCAATCTTTATACATATACATATGTATGTATATACATATATACATATATGCATATTCCTATACACACATATTTTTGTAAATATTTTCATTTTTTTGTTTTTCTTTATTTTTTGCGTCGTTGCTTGTCGCTAATGATGAAATTTTTTCAGCTGTGGGGGCCTCATGACGTCATCATTGGCGATAGAAATATGCTTTCTCAGAACGGAACGATAAACAAAACAAACAAAAGCAAACGAATGAATCTTTTTTATGCGTTCCACACATCGAGCAAAGATTATTGATGGGGGCTGCAGGAATTACAAAAACTACAGATATTGCAACTAATCTCTCTATTATATATCTTATTGTTGACATGTGATGGTCAATAGTTCTCAATTGCTTTCAACTTGTCATACTTTAAGAATTTAGATAATAGATATCTGTTTATGATTAAATTGTTGTATACATGTGTGTGTATGTACATATGTATGTATATATTTTAGGTATAATGGAAATTTTGTTTTGAATTAAGAACAACGCAATCAACAACTCGTTCCGTTGCCCCCAAAAGATTGAAGGTCGTTTCCTGGGCAGTTATGAAGCAAGAAATCGACTCAAAAACAATGTTACACATTTAAATTCAATTGGCGCCTGAATTGAATTGAAATGTATTGACAACAATTACGTATACTATATGTATACATATGTATGTGTATGTTTGTATGTACATGCATATGTATGTATTCACTCTATCGAAACGAACACGAGGTCTAAAATTGTTTTTCTTCATGCCCAATAGTCACAGTGCTGATCATTTAAAACTGCGCTCAATTCGCATCTATTGTCTAAACAATTTAGATTCCGGTTTATAAAGCTACACAAACAAAATTAAACAAAGATACATACATACATATGTATGTATCAACAAAACCATGTGCATTTTAACAGAGGACAATTGCATTTGGAATCAATAAGTTAGGATAAATCAACACTGATCAAATTTGATTTATTTGAGTGTTATCTAACACTAACAACAATTGGAGCCTGGCTTCAGATGTCGATGTGCGGCTATCGGCATTCGATAGTCTGTATATTTATATTTTTCACATTAATAATTAATACTTAAATATTTATTATTTCTTTGTCTGCCTGTTCGTTTACTTTGTAATATGAGCGAAAATTGTTTGCACACTTCGTTAAACAGCCATAAATCACATAGTAATAATTTAAACTCGTATGAAATAAAACAGCTGCGTTGTTTGGCCAAGCGACCCAGCTCGCATGACGAGGCCGCACATTTATTAATTAATAATCGAACGACAATTAGAGCCTTTCACATCGATAATCGAAAGTCGACCTTGATAATAAAAAACTAAAACTTAAGGACAGCGGCGAGCCTATTTTATATTTAGGTGCCATCAATTTTCACCAGCTGAGATGAGGGGAACAACACTTACTTGTTGCCAACTGCTGATAGCTGTATACTTTGTGGCAAATATAGACCTGCAGATATAAATTGCTTGTATGTATGTATTTATATTATACGACTTGTGATAGGTATCGTTCCAAGGGTCAATTGTAAGAAATTATATTTTGCCACAATTGACAATAATGCAGTTAAAGGCATGTAATTTAGAGATAATCACGTTTTCGGACATTCGCTCGTTTTGGCATGATAGACAAACATACATACATATGTACATAAATATGGGTAAACTGTTTCCCTTTCCGCCTCTGTGTTGCCAACAGAATTCCAAGAATGATTACAACGGCGCATGTGGGTTTATCACTGTTGAGACAGGTCATTAATGACCGGTCAAGAGTCTAGCTGCATTTCACGCTAAATGCAGGTAGCGTAGACAAAGAGGCAGACATGCGGACGACACAATGAGTCGACACAATGAGTCGTCTTTTGTCTGCTTGATATAACAAACAAAAACAAAAAACAGAAAAGGAAAAGAAAGAGACAAGTGTGTGTGGGCGAGCAAAGGAAATGCGCACTGCATGCAGATGTTATCGATAGCAGCGCAGTCAATTAACAATTAACAGCAATGCATGTCAAACGCAATTATGTTTACATACAGCTGTTGTCTAGTGCAATGGCCCCTGCGCCAGTCGCCCGCATGCAGAACAATAAACAAAGCAACAGACGCCAAAATAGAAGAAGAGAGATGTAAAGACTGATCAATCATCCCTTCTGCTCCCGCACTCGCCCTCACTCACTCTCTCTCTCACATCTTTGTTACTCTCCGCCTACACCGCAAGTGTGAGTAAATTACGATCGATAGCTATTGATAGCACACTATTTATTATAGTTTATCTCAGCGCACATTGCATTATATTATATTTGTACATATTAGTTAAATGGCTTTAATCTACTTCGATTTTTAAGCTGATCAAAAGCCAGCAAGCAAGAACAGTCGGCTAACGGATTCCAGATGTCAGGTTGACCACACCCCAAGTAAATATTAGTCAGTAGCAGCAATAAATACTACATGGCCTAGATGTTAATGACTTTTCTACGTGTAAATGCGTCATAATTTTATTGTTTGTTAACAAATAACTCAGATATCATCTGGGTGGGAATTATATACACACACACATATTGCAAGTAGTATGGGTTCAAAGCTGCTGAGAGCAATTCCAAAACAAACGACAGATTGTCTCAGCCTACATGTCCTCTTTTATCTGGCAACAACAAATTGGGTTTGAGGGCATAGGATCAGATGGCAACACTGACCCACTTTACCTACTACGCACGAAATAAGAGCAAGCAAGTATTGAGATACGTACACTCACGCACACACACACATGTATGTATGTGTTGGGCAGGCAAGCAAACAATAACAGCTTAGCCAAAAGCAAAAACAACACCAAAGCGGCTCCCACTAACACACTGACTCTTTATGCTGCCTATGCCAGCGACGACGCGTCGACGACAACACAACGTCAGCGCGAGCACTACTGTTGCGCGCGTGTCGGGGCCTGTGTGCTTCAGACATGCAGTAACAGAGAGCAGTCAGAGCAGCAGCTGAAAAAACGTTACCTGGGGTGGCTGGTTGGAATTGGTAATGACAACAACAACAACATCAGCATGCCTATCACTGATTTACTTTCCATCATTAACGGAAGTATTGGTATCGGTAACGTTCGTTGTTATCACGTCGTTTAACGCCCACAAATTAAAATCTTCGCGTAAAACTAGTGTAAATGCAAAAACAACAACAACAGCAAAAGAAACAGCAATATGGAGAATAACAGTGTAAATCTGAAAACAACACAAAAGCTTTTGTCACACTCTTATGACTTTGCTTTTTGTTCTGCCTTTGCTTCTTCTTCGTCTTGTTCATATTGTTGTTGTAGTTCATCGCCCTTGAATCGCTGGCTGCTGTTGCCAAAAGGGGCTGGGGCCGGGGCCTGTGTAAGGGGTTGGGGCTCAGGCAAGGTAATGTCAGCGCACATTATTCTGCTTGTTTTTGTTTTTGCATTGCGTTGTTGTTTCTGTAGTATGCGTCAGCTGTTCTTTTTTGTGCATTTCAATCGCTGCTTACACTTACCTTAAATTTAATTGTTTAGCTATTTAAATTCGTCCTGAGCAGGCGGGCCTCATACACACACTCACACAAGCACACTTGAACACACATACACACACACTCACACTGACGCACGTTTTTTGCACGTTTTATAATGAATGAGTTTTTTGTGTTTTTATTGGTTTTTGGCTATTACATGACATCAGGCCAATGTTTATTGCGATTGTTGAAATTAAGGAATTTTTGTAAATTAACTACACTATGTACACAATTATAGACGTATTTTGTTTGAAATATATACAAAAACAAAACGCGAAAAACGAAAGGTTCCCGTCGTCGTCTTTCACGCGCACTCCACCCACACGACGTGCCACACTCTCGGACGTGGAAAAACAAATGAACGCTGGTCCACTCGCGTTTTGTACCAGAGCGCAGTTCCGTTGCTGAACGAACTAGTTACCGTGAACCATGCAGAACAACAACACAAATTGAGCAAAAGACCGTCAAATTATTGTACACCTATACAAACAGAAAGCATTAATAAATTATACATATGTGTATAAATAGCTGAATTACTTATATTTTATAATTATAAATATTATACATATTTATATTCCTTTTTTAATGTATGCTTTTTTTTATTTATTAAAATAAGAATAAAGGTCTATCAAAGTCATTAAAAGAATCTAGCAAAATTATTGAAAAATGCTCAACAATTAAACAAGTTGATTGCAAGATAATTTCAAATTTATAATTAGACTTACAATTCATTCATAATATTATATTATAATATGTGTTGAAACAGGTCCAAACCAAATTTGTTAGTTATTTATAGCCGGGCAGATAATGTTAATGTGTGGGCAACCCAATGTTAGATAAACGTAATGTTGCTGTGTTACTCAAAATGGTTCATTAGCTAGGTAATTTATTCAAATGAACTGGCTGAGAGAAACAATTATCGAAAGCAATCGCTTGTTTTTTTTTGGCGCCAATTTGATGTGGATTGGCTTTTTTAAATCTGATTTTAGACCGAACATTTATTAATAGTAAAATGACGCCGTTGGACAATATCTATTACAATTATTGTTAAATCGCAAGAAAATGTCAGTATTCGACTATCCGCGTGTGTTTCGCATTTGGTTACTGTTACTGTTACATATGTATTAGTATCACTTTTGATTTTAAACTCAATTCACGGATGGGGACTTAGCCCATGGTTGTCAAATGTTTATTGGTGCCAACGGCGCCAGCGGGCGCATCGTTGGCAACACAAGTGGGTATGGCACTCGACCATTTGCCATTCTTCATGCACTTGAGGACCTTGGAGCCGCGCAGCTCGAGGCCGGCATCACAGGTGAAGGTGATGCTCTCGCCAATGGCATAGTAGAACTTAACGGATGACATGCGACCGCTTATTGCGGTCCCTGGATACGAACAGGCCTGCACACATTTGGGCAAACCGCCCGACCAGCGTCCGTTATCCTGACAGGCAATTATTGGCTGACCTTGCATCATATATTCCGGGTTGCAATTGAATTGGACCACGTCGCCGGCACGATATGGTGCCGAGCCCTGGGCGTAACCGTTTTGCGGCGCGCCCGGATTATCGCATTGCACTTCGACACAGGTGGGAAACGGTGTCGCCCATTCGCCCGTAGGCAAACAGATGGCCTCCGTGGGGCCGCGCAATCCGTAACCCGTGGAGCAGGAGAATGCCGCTCGCCCGCCCACCTCACGTGACAGCACAGAGACGCGCGGTGAGCTAACATTGTTCGGCATCAGCGGTATATCGCCGCACTCCACGCTCTCGCAAACCGGCAACAGTGCGCTCCAATTGCCACTGGGCAAGCAAAACAGCTCCGATGCGCCAATCAACGAGTTGCCATTCGAACAGGACAACAGCACGCGTGTGCTCAGTTTCGTATCGTTCGTGCTTACGATCAGGCCACGCCTAATCGGTATCTCCGGGCAATTTATCGCCTTCACCACCACCTCGACGGCATGCTCGTGCCTGGCCGGTGTCATGCAGGAGTAAATGCCCGTATCGTCGGCAACAGCATCGAATATGCTCAAACGGTATTCCAGCGTTGAGTCTCGGCCCTCATCGGCCTCGGTTACCCAGCCCTCAGTGTAGTTTCTGGAAACGAATGAAACAGATCATTTGTGTGAACAGTTCCTTCCACATTGATCGCATCGCGTGCTACCCACTTGTGTGTGTGACTGACATTCCATTTGGGATTGCCGAAGCGTCGCATCCAGAGACATTCCATGTGCAGCGTGGTGCCCGGATACACAATCAATTTGCCATCGTTGCTCTGGGCAATGGGCCCGTTCTGGTGACGGAACAGTATGGTGGGCGCCTTCTCCACTGCGGGGAAATATCATTTGTGCATATCATTTAACATAAATGCGAATCTAAGTGAGGTACCCACTCGCATAATCGTTCTCCTGATTCAGGCCTGAGCAGACGGGCTTCGTGTTTGTCCACTCGGAGTGAATGCAGGTGCGCTCATGACTGCCCGTCATGGAGAACTTGCCAATGTCCACGCATCTACAACAGAGGATTTAGAAGAAGTTAGTCCGATATATTTGGTCTGATGCAACATACCTGGATATAATTGTAGCGCCTGGAGGAAATTCCACAATGTCCTCTCTTATCTCCAAGTCGTTGTAGAAGCTAACCACATTTGCCTCATTGTTGCGAAACAAACACGTGCCGTTCTCTGGGTGGGAGGAAGCTCATCTCAGATTGAAGCTGCATCAGAGCGGGAATCAGACTTACCGCAGTTATAGGAGCGACCTATCCATTGTCCATTGTCGCAGATGATGCGCCAGGTTTGCCGATCGCCAGCGGCGTTGGGAATGCAATTGAAGAAGATCTCCGTGCCGCTCTCGTAGGCCCCTTCTATTTCCGCATGGTCAGCGTTTCTGAAGAGAACAGAAGAGGCAAGTTCAGTGAGCAGAATCACTCAATTGTTGCAAGGATCCTTCAAGGATCACTCACTTGTAGACCAAAGCACCGTCTGTCAAGCTCGGATGTCCGCACATTTTCAACTCCTCGCCGTGCTCGTCTGTGTTGTTATCGTGATGATCGTTGTCCAATTCGTTGTGCTCGATTTTGCTGTGCGTTGTGGGCGTGGGCGTGACATGCTCCAGTTCCTCGCGTGACTTGCGCAAGCCAGTTTCGCAGTGCACGCTGGGCGGGGTTAGGACGCCTTTGTGACACGACATCTCAATGGGATTGGCGTTCGTGGACAGCTCACAGCGCACACTGACTGTGCTGCCATGGCCAATGGTCAGACCCGCGCGATAGCCGCCCTGCAGGAAAAACCCGATGCACAATAGCTAAAATGCAAACTTTGGGGGAAAATGTTTTGAACTTGCCTCATAGATAACGCCGGGTATGTTGGGCAGAGTGCAGGGCAAGGAGGTGCATTCGGAAAAGGCGTTGACAGACCAGGAGCCATGAGCGCAGCGCAGCTGAGCGGAACCCTGAAAGGTGAAAGCGAGAGATATGCTTAGATCTAGGCTGCTTAGAGTCTAGTGGCCTACCTGTATATTGAATCCATCCTCGCATTCCAGGGTTATGAATTCATTTGACTGAATCTCCTCGTAGGTGGACAGTGGCGTCAGGGATGGCTTGTCGCTTAGCTGTTTGGTGTGCGGCTCCACCTTGTAGTACTGGCCGTGCTCCACGGCTGGCACTAGACACGGAGCGGACATACACTTGGGCACATCCGGCTTCCAGATGCCGCGTATGCAACGCGCAGTCGCATTCTCGCCCTTAATGTTTAGCTTGAAGCCCGCATTGCATTCCAGTTGCAGCATTATGCCCACCGAGTTTCGGCCGGGCGCTTTGCCCGGACGCACTACCGTTATGTTGGCAAACGAGTCCCAGTCGAGCTCCTCGCAGGGACCTCGCAGTCGCTTGCCACCGGCTGCCTTGTTGGCGTCAGCCCCGTCGCTCGTATCCAGCTCGGTTTCGGGCGGCGGTGTGCCCGTGGCTCCGATGCTGGTGCTGCGCCTGCGCCGTCGACGCACAATTTGAGACTTGAGTTGTTCGATCAATGATTTTGTGCCGTTGCCATGCAGCTTGCGCTCCACGGAGCCATGCGAGAGTGGAGCTGGTGCCTCGTTGGAGTTGCGCGAATGGCTGTAACGCGAGCTCTGATTGATGTCGGGCACAGGCAGCGATCCACGCCCTCGATGCTCAGCGATATCCTCCTCGACCTCATTGCGCCACCGTGAGGCCTTGCGCATCATGTCCAGCTCTGGATTATTGTACTGGTTATACCAGCGTCCATTCTGACCGTGCGTCTGCTGGAACAGTCGATTATGGCCCAAGATTTTGCGCACATAGCGCTGGTAGCGTTCCTTGATCTTCTGATAGTACTTGGAGTAGGCCAACTCAATGTCCGAGGGACTCTCATTGTTATTGGCGTTGCGCTTCACGCGTGCGGCCATCGTTGCTCCAGCTGCGGGCTGAACCATGGCAGACTGTAGACCTAGGAAATCCTGATGCTCTGCCAGTTGTCGTTGCAATTGACGCTGGCGCCGCAGCAAATAGATGGAGCGCAGTTGACGCAGCTGCAATGAACGACGCCGACGTCGATTCCAGCGCAGACGCGGATGCTGGCTGAGCAGACATTGCGGCAAATCCAAAGGCCGCCATTTGCCACCCACGCAAGTAGCGCCTGGTGGACCCACCTGAATGGACATCAAATGAGGAACTGCTTAATCGAACTGAATGGGGGTAAGTCAATATCTCACCTCCAGCACGTAGCCCTTGTCGCAGTCGTACATGATCTGCTTGTTGTTCACAATCTTCTTGACATACGGACGATAGTCGTAGAGGCCCATGTTGCCCACGAGCAGCACCTTGCCGTGGGGTATGTAGCCCGGAAATGAGCAGAATACCTCGTCGCACTTGGGCGTCTCTCCCGTCCAGTTGCCAAAGGAGCAGGTTAGCACATAGTCGTGTGGATCGGTGATATCCTTACCCTCGGGGCTGACCAGCTTGAAGCCGTCCTTGCACTTGAATCTCGCCTTCATGCCGTGCTCCGTCTTCGGAGCCATTACCATGCCGTGCTTCGGCGGCTTCGGCATGCTCTTGCAGCGTGCTGGCACACAGCGGGGTATGATGCTCCAGGTGCCGTTGTTGCAGGTCGGTGGACTTAGCAATGAAACGGGAAACTCATAATTCTCCTCGCACCTCACCTCCAGCGCTGTGCCGTGCTTGACTTTCTCCACTCCGCCCACTATCTGCGTCGGCGACGGCGTTGTCGTCGTAGTCGGCGTGACTATTGTCGTACCATTCTCATCTGTAATTATCTCAATGGGTATAACGAATCCCTGCGATATGGTAGGCACCACACAGGGCGCCAAGCACTCGGGCAGCGCATTGCGCCAACGGCCATCGATCTGACAGACGCTCGAGCCCAGGCCGTTGATCAGCATCTCGGGCTGGCACCGAAAGATGATGCTAGCCCCCAGCCCAGTCCCTGCCTCAATGTTCTCGATCCAGCCATTGTATAGCACACCCGGATGTCCACAATTGATTTCTGCAATGAATTTATTAAGATAGATATTAAGTGAGTTATGGCTGCCTTATTACCTTTGCAACTGGGCACAACTCCACTCCACTTGGCGCTGGCTCCGCAGCGGCTTGAGCTCTCACCCACCAGGGTGTAACCGTAGCGACACTCGTAACTGACCACCGAATTGTACGCCAAGGTGGTGTACGTAGCCTTGCCATTCTTAGGATTCTCTGGCGTCGGACAGACCACAGAAGTGACCACTGCGAAGAAAGGCATATGCATAAAATAGGCTTAGGGTTATGAGAGCCAAATAAATCATAGAGATGGATGGTGTGGATAGCTATAATGACTATGTACTACTAAGGAGAGCAGATCTTTTAATCCGACAAGGATAAAACGCTTATGATATACAACCTAGGGGTAATTGCCACGGTATTGTGGAGACTCTTATGGTATATGGGTTATGGAGTTATTAAAGGATAAGGGTTAAGAGGTAACTACTATGAGATCAGGTCTTAGAATAAGAATCTTCAATTTACACTTTTATATCAAATTCGATTGTAAAGTGCAAGGCACCAAGTCCTGGATAGGGCTTGAGGCTAAGAGGAATCTATGTTAGAAGAGTGCTAAAGATGCTCGGATGTATTTATAAAAGCTATCACAAATCTTAGGAAAGCGCTCGCATCGACCACCGGGCAAATAAAACAACGTGGGTTTCGTTTTAGTTTCTTTCTTAAGATTCGTGGTAACTTTTATTAGATTTATTAATCAATTAACATTTTGTAGGCCAACAACAACTTTTGAACAATTATTATTATTGAATGCAGAACGATAATTAACAATTTATTTTGTTTTTTGTGTTTAGCTTTGCTTTTGGCTAGGAGCTTCGAAATTTGGCGCTCGGAACAAATTGCAAATTGTATTTTGGTTTTTGGTGGTTTTGGAGCAATCCCGCGCGCAATTGCAAAAGAAATTCAAATTTGGTTTGCTTTAGGACAACGTTGCTTGGGTGGTTGTAACATTTGCGTTATCCGCTTTGTTGTGGTGGTTGGGAGTTAGTAAATCATAAAATGAAAAGTTATAAAATCGCTCTAGACTAGATGGACAAAGGCGCAAGATACTCACAGACACAGGTGGGCAGCTCCTTGGGCGTCCAGGAGCCATCCGATTGACAGTAGCGCTCGTGCTTGCCCACCAGCTCGTAGCCGGTGCCGCAGTTGTAGGTGATCTTGCAGCCGTAGGTGTAGCACTCGCCGGCATGCCAGCCGTACGCCGGATCTGGAGGCTGTCCACAGGAGCGAGCTGTAAGCACATGAGATCAACTTGATTAAACCTCGAATTTATTGACTCGTAGTATCTTGCAGTTGCATTGAGTATTGAGAATATTAAGGATATTCATAGAGGAGATATCGGAGTATAATGTCTATAGGAAGAAACTCTCAATAGCTTGCTAAACGTAAGCAACAAATTGCATTAAATATCATGACATTTATTTACGTAAATTAAATATTAATTTGAGCATGATAAATCACGGGTTTTCCACAGAAACTAATCAAAATGCTAAGCTTTTAATAAATTTCCGTAGTAACATTTCCTTTTATTGTTCTCCTCTTTCTAACTCTCTATCCATACTTCTTAATATTTTGCTCCATTTCACTATTTTTCTCCTTAACTCTCTATATTTCTCTCTGGTTTTCTCGATTTCTATCTCTCCCTCTATCTTTCTCACACTCTTTCACTCACTCTGTCCAACTCCCTCTCTCATTCACTCACTCTCACTCACTCAGTCTTTCTTTTACTCTCAGTCACAGTCTCTTCCGCTTTCTCTCACTGTCAATCGCTCACTCTCTCTCTCTCTTCCTTTTTCGATCAATCTCGTTTTTTGTCCTAGACGGACAACTTCTCTTCACTCACAATAGATGCACGTTTCCAATCAGAATACCGTACTCACGTTCGCACTGTATGTCGGGTCCATACCAACTGGCCTGATTATCGATGGCCAGGCACTTGGCGCGCGGAAATCCGTTGGTCACATAGCCCGTGTAGCAGTGGTACTGCACCGTCGAGTCCAAGTCGAAGGTTTCCTGCTCCGGCAGAGCCGAGTTGCGCGCGTGCTCGATCTGGGGCGGCTTCAGGCAGTAGACTGCAGGAACGACGGGAGTTTGTTTTAATATTGAAATGGGAATGCGGATATTGGAGTGTCAGCCACTTACTGTTCTGCTTGCAGGCTGGCTCAGCGCCGGCCCAGTTGCCATCGGCCTGGCAGAGGCGACTCTGGAGACCCACCACATGGTAGCCATGGGGACAGGCATAGGAAGCGCGAGCGCCAAAGTGACGGCCGGCGACGGTGACTTGGCCCAGGCTGGGCTGGGCGAGTTCCGGACACTCGCGATCTGGGCAAGACAGCGATTAGGGCGGGCAACAGCAGCTGGAGCGCTCCACTCACCTGGCTTGATGCACGAATTGCCGCAAACGCCGTCGCATAGACACTTCTTCTTCTTGCTCTTGCAATCCTCGTCGGAGGAGCATTTGCGCAAACACTTCTGGCCCAACAGCGTGGCCTGCTCCTCATCGCGCGGGCACTCCGTGGACGGGGAATTGCGTGGATTCTTGTAGACGCGTCCATCATCATCGGACTCCAGCGAATCATCGCCCTCGTCCCAATCGTCGTCGTCATCATCCTGCTGGGGTATCTCTGTGGTAGTTGCTAGGCCACTCAATGCGGTCGTCTGGCTGGTGGGCACCGAGATGACTAAAGAGAGATAGAGATAGAGATAGAGAGAGTTCAATTTCGGTTTAAGCACATGCTCCACATCCGGTTCAGCGAAAGTCTACACATCATTCGCGTATTTTGTTTTGATTCCCCATTCCGTTCGTATTGGAGAACCCAACAGCAACAGCGGTGGAGAGTGGGGTGGGGAAATGGGCAGGGGCCGGGTGGGTGTCTCTGCTGTGTTGTTGTGGTTGCCTGACTTGCCCTCAAAAACATTGACCCATTTCTGTGTTGACGTCTGCTCCACATGTCAGTCAGTCGGTCGGACTGTCCACGCAGCATCTGGAGTCTGCGCACTGCGGTTGCGCTTATATAATCAGCAGCAGCAGTAGCAGCAGCAGCAGGATATACATTTTTCAGCTGCAGCCCAATTGAATCGTCTGGTCTCGAATCGAAATACGCTAAACATACTTATCTGTGCTGTTATCAATCAGGGATATGAGTCACTCAATCAATCAATCACATAGTCACCTTTGTAGACCAGAATCATGGCCACCAAACAGTGCAGCAGCAGACGATTCATTTTGCTGGCCTGTTTTTCAGCTGGGGTTCTTGATTAGAGGGTTTTGCGTTGTGGTTGTTGTTATTCCAATTGGATTTACATCGGCCCCAATTGGTTTACTTCTGCAGCATTTTATGCTCGATTTTAATAATCTTTTTTTTTCTACTTGGTGCGTATTTCGCAAGCTGCCTTGTAAACTGCAAACTGCACACTTTGGCGAAACAACACGAAATGCAGCTCAGCTGCTGAAATTTTTGGGGATTTCTCTCTCAGCTTCTGACAGATGGTGAGAGCAGCATCGCATCTGACAGGCAGAGGATGCGTTAGTGGTTGGTGTCCGAGCTAAACTGTAATGTGTTCCACAAAACGTATGCTTTGTGAACACATACACATACATATGTGTATGTATATGTATACATGTGTAGACAATTGTGCATTGAAGTGTTTCTATCCTTGCTAAACAATGGAGAGTTTTTCGCTGCTCGACAAGGATTTCGTTTTATGTATGTATGAATAAGATCTTTAATACAATAAGCGCTAAAGTAATTTATATATATTATATTTAACAAAATAAATAACAAGTAAGAGGGGTCTAGTCGACACTGCTCAACTACGAGAAAGCTGATATTAAGATAATTATGCGCATTTAGTCTGTATATCTGTCTCTCCGTCTATTCTTCCTGTCTGTCTGCCTAACTACAGAAGATCATTTAAGTTGTCCCATATGTATGCAGCAGTACTCATTTGGTATTTATATTTGAGTAAACAGAAGCTAGAATTTTTGCAGAAGCAGAGACTGTTCCCATTAGTCACTTAAAGCTCGACTGCTACCTGACGCCGGGTACAACATTTAAGCACGACTTGATCTTTGAGTGAAAGTCGCCCTATATTAACGGCCGCAGCTGCAGCAGTTCTTTAGTCGCCCAGGCCTGGTGAGGATCAGTCGTGCAGTGCAGTAAAGTGAAGTGAACTGATGTTTGTGATCATCCAACTGAGCATGGAGGAAACACTTTTAGGAAATACTTAGAGAAAATAAATAGAGGAATTGCATATGTAGGAATTACATATGAGGATATGTATATGGAATTATTTTATTGATTTTGCACGCTAGTCTAATATTCCTTTATAAAAGATTTATTTCAAATTTGAAAACTCTACATGAATGTCAACACTCTATTGATAAATGGTAAAATGACAGGAAATGTAAAATGGGTTGTGTCTTTGCTAAATGCTAATACGTTCCATACGAATGCATACAAACACAATATTCGTCCATGCAGGATGCTCAATTGGTTTGCGTCTGTACTTACTAGTAGTTACTTAATAAACACAGCCTAGATACTGCATTCTCATAGGCCATTGTTTATTTAACTTACGATTAAATAATAAATACCATTAAATTTCCCGCTCACAATTATCAACAATTCTGCTGCTACCCTTTGGCATTTGTTGTTACTACGTTTTTCCACACCAATTGCAGCCCTCGCCAAGAACTTGAGGAGAGCGCCAGCGAGGGAGAGCGAGAAAGCGAGCGTTAGAGCTTTCGCTTAAAGCTTTCGCCACACACGTTTCGCCGTCGAGAAATTTTCCAACGCTCACAGGCAGAACGACGCACGGCACGGAGCACAACGCACAAAACGGGAAAAACTATCTAAAGCGCGCACAAGCAAAAGCAAAATAAGAAATAGGAAGAAAAAAGAAGGAAAACGTCGCAGAGCATAAAACAAAATCTTCAATTCTATTTTTTGTTGTTGTTGTATTGTGTTGCAGTTGCTGTTGCTGTTGCTGTTGTTAGTGTTGCTGTCGAAAATGTCTTAGTGCAAGCGTGTGGCGAGCGTTTTGATTAAGCAATTAATTGAGACGAGTGCTGTGTGATAAAAAAGAAAAACAAAAACAAATAACGGCAAGTGCAAGTGCAGTGGGTGGAAATGTTTTAAATTTGATGCGTTTTTGGGTTCGGGTTCGGGTTTTTGGGCTTCGGGTTCTCGGGTCCGGGTTCGGGTTCGAGTTCGGGTCTTTGGACTTCGGGCATCGGGCAGAGAGGGGAGCGTGCGAAAAGCGCGTAAAGAAAAGTAAGTGCCAGAATTTGTGTATTAAAATAAATCAAATAACCAACTAAGCGATGCATACACACACAAACTCATCTCCCTCCGCTGTCACTCCATCTCTCTCACTCACTCATGCACACACATGTATGCGAGCAGTGTAAGTGGCATATGCGCGAAAAAAAATGTAGAAGAGATCGTTATTATTAAAGGAATGCTTGGAACACATTAATTGCTATTGAGAAAAATAAAATAAATAATAATGTGCGACAAACGCGCGACAAAATGTCGAATATAAAAAATGAAAAAAAATATACTCAAAATCAAACACAAATACATACATTTCTATGGCTGTGTATATAAAGTAAATTTATTTATAGCGCAAACTGAAAAAAAAAAAAATAAAATAAAATAGAAATCAGAGAAAGATGTGACACGATTGAACATTTTTTATTATATCCAATAAATATTGAACTAAAAAAAGAATTGGATTCTGCAGCAGCCGACAATTTTCAAGCGTGTACACAAAAAACCAAAACTCAGACCGAGACGGACACCAGACCAGACCAAATCGTGCCGCACCGCACCGCAGGGGCAGAGCAACGAACCACAGTCAACCCAACCGTCCAACCAACCAACCACCCACCCACCCACTCAGCCAGCCAGCCAGGCGGACCCACTTGATTAACGCCAACGCCAATTCGAACGCAGAAAATCTCTATAAAAGTTCAGCAGAGAGCATGCGTTCACTGAGCTTTTGCTCTCTTTTCCTCTCTCGCTCCCGCACTCTCCGTGCTCTCTCTCTCTCAGTGTGCGTCTCGCGCCTTGCACAGGAAATTCTCTTTTTTTTTGTTTTTGTCATTGACCTGTTGTGGTAGTGAAAGATTCAAAATAGTTTAAATATTTACGAGAAAAGGAGAAACCAACGAAAAACAATTGGGGATTCTTCAAATATATGTATATCAAGTGCTAATTAGATATATTTTATATGAATATATAGACTTAAATGTAATTGTTTTGTAAATGTGTATATGGAATTTGCATATTGAACGCGTGCCTTGTTCCCTGCTTTTACCCTCCCCTCGTCCAGTGTTTTATGTGTACCTGGCATAAAATTAAAGCCTCGAGGCATTCTCAAAAGCCACATCTCTACAGGCCGTTTGTAAATCGATACGGGGACACTTCAGGAAGCATCTGATTATGCACAATTAAATACTTTGCCCACAAAGCTGGCATTTATGCCTCTTGTAGTATCCGCATGTATGCATATAAGAAGAAGAAGTAGTGAATCTAATCTCAGGCATATTTTCAACTAACCCTTTGGGGTAGGCTGTTGATGTGTCACTCAAGCTCATGTTAAGTGACTGATAAAAGCAGTAGACAAATTTACAATGAGTATTTAAGCCCATTGAAGCCTAGGATATTTGAATTGCAATTTTAACTGCAGTGTTGCCACTTTGATAAAGTTGTAGATAAAATTAGAATGTGTATTTGAGCCTAGTGTTGCCACTTAGTATTGAAGCACAAATAACATTGCTAATTTAACTCCAATGTGGCCTATTTGCATTAGTAAAACAAATATCATGTTAAGTGCATGTTTAGAACTATTCTAATTATTTTCAATGTTGCCATTTGCCAATTGGAATTTGGCAAAAGATACATAAGAAATTGATTTTAAATAAAATGAATGCCAATGCCAATCTTTTTATAGTGCTGTCATTTGTCAATGATATTTTTAGATACCTGAACATCTTATCAGACTCTTATTTAGACTTTTTAATCTTAATATTGCCATTTCAATCATTTAGTGCTGGCAGTTGGAAGGTTCATTCAGAATTTTAAGAGTTTTTACGTGTTAAATGAATGTTAAATGAAATGCTAAAAGTTATAGTTTTTTGCACCTACATATAGAATGTAACTCAATTAGCGTCATGATATCTTGGCCCTATGAGAGTTCTAAAATGGAACATTTGGAGCTTGACAATGCTGGAAGCACCTAAATAATTGGTTTACCAACATTTTTATTTTAACATTCACTTGTATGTTAGCTTAATGTTAAAAATTGAATAGTCTTAACTTAACTTCAGTGTTGCCACATTCACAGGATTAGGATCAGAGGATATATGAAAGAGAATATTATAAGTGAATGTTAACCGAATGTTAGTTAACAGATATTCAATTATTATTTGCTCTTCGAGCATTAAACAGGAATATGGCTTCAGGGCTGCCATATTTTGATTAGTAATGTTAATAGATATTTAATCGCAATTTGATATTCGAATAAATATTTCTTTTAGAAAGATAGTGCTTTAACATTGAATTGGAATTTAGCATTAGTGTTGCCACTTGCAATGAACTTTCCACTAACAATAAACAAAACATACCTTATACATACATACATATATGTATGGTCTCTATTATTTATAACTAACTTATTATCTTCCTCTTTTCTTTCAGGACAACAATAGTCAATTTTAAGTTAATTCAAATTCGTAGAGCAGCAGAAAGCTTTTAGCTCTAGCCATGGGCAACGTTTGCAGTTCCGGGCAGAAGAAGAAGAAGAAGGATAAGGACAGCGCCTCCGAGCAGTCCGATGAGTATGTTGAGGCCACAATTTATAAGAAAGTCTCAAATATTAGTGTCGAATTAAACGTTACAGCTCCCCGCCCTATGAGGAAGCCGATAAAAACGAGGCACAGCCAAGCAACGATGCGAAGGACTACAATGAAAAACGAGCACCGTTGGCCGATGTGGAGGCGCTGCCGGAGACCACTCAGACCAATGACTCGAATGGCAATCAACAGCAACAGCAGCAGCAGCAGCAGCAGACGTCCCTACCCAAGTCCAATGCCACGGAGAAGGGTAAGTTGTGGAGCTATCGAATCGGATTGGATCCTAATGAATTCTGGACTTGCAGAGTCGAACAGCAACAGCACGACGCAGGGGGCGCAGGCGCCTGGCGATGCGTCTAGTGGCAGTCCGGGCATGGGCAACCTGAGCATGCTGCAGGGCAAGCCGCCGCCCGGCCGCAAAATCGAGCGCGACAAGAAGATCGTCATCTACATACTGGCGGACAATAGCACCGAGTACAAGAAGCACAAGCGTGTCATCTACAGTCTGTACAAGCATTTTAAGAGCAAGTGCCAAAGCAAGGGATTCGACTTCATCATTGCCGATGTGCACGACAGCGAGGCGCTAAGCAAGGAGGCGGGGGCGACAGCGATGACGACGTCGCTGGAGCAGCAGGCGAATGGCAATGTGAAGAAGGACTTCTCCAGACTGCAGGAGGTTAAGCGCTGGACGCAAACACCGCTGGAGGCGCAGGGCGGGCACGAGGAGGCAGCCAACTGCCTGTGCGAGATAACGCGTCATGCGACCGACGCCTACATAATACCGGTGCTCTTCCTCGGCTCCACGCTGGGCACGCCCATGCTGCCGCTGACAATTGAGAGCCAGGACTTCACCTCGGTGCTGAGCGCCGCCAGCGATGCAGAGAAATCGCTGCTCGAGAAGTGGTACACCATTGACAACTCCTACCAGCCCATGTGCCATCGGCTCTACACGCAACAAATCGATCCGTACTCCACGGAGGTGAACGACGAGCTGAATGAGCTGCTGGCGGTGCTGCTGCGCCTCTTCTCGGACGATGTGAAGGACTCGTATCTGACCACCGTCGTCGAGCAGGAGATCAACAACACGGTGCTAATAAGCCAGGAGCTGGCCAAGCGCTGTATATGGATACAGACGGGCGCCCATTACTCGCGCGCCCCAGAGAATGCCACACAGCTGGAGCTGGAGGTGCTGCGTCGCATCACGCGCATCTACGCCGAGCTCAAGAATCAGCTGTGCGAAAAGAATCTCATCCGAATGCTACCCACCATGAATATCCTGGACGACGAACTGTCCTCGGTCATCGAGAGTCTGCTGGACAAGTCGCTGGCGGGCATCTTCGAGGAGCACCTTCAGAAGAGTATACCCTACAACACGCTGGGCGTGGATCGTGTCCTCCTCGAGGAGCTGCAGCTGATCGGCCACTACTCGAAGCTGCTAGCCCAGAACTCGGCCAACTTCGACATTATGAACGATGTGAAGCGCTACATACGCGACGGCACCTCCCAGCCGTTGGTGGTATCGGGCGCTCGGGGGAGCGGTAAAAGTGTGCTCGTGTCCAAAATCATGGAGAATGTGCATCGATGGAAGCCAGAGGCACAGCTAGTACTGAGGTGAGCTCGAAAATGAAGACCAAACTCTCAGTAGGAGAAATTTACGAAGGTGCTGTGGATGTGGAAGGTGGAGATCTGGTGTGATATATCAG